TTTATTGTGGATTGAGTGAAAGTTTACAGGGCACATCATCAGTTTCACATTCAACAATTCATATAACTTGTTTCATTACATTGATTATAATCCCCTCCATCCACCTCATATAGTTTTGCAGGGATTGCGGTATTCAGGATCCCAGAAGGAATTCACTCCAAATTAATCCAAGATAGTTTCATACCAATGACTTTAATGAAGAGCTTGCTTACTGAGGTGTGGTCAGGGCTAAGGGAACAAACAAAGGCTGGGGAGGTCAGAGACTAACAACGGGGAAGCTGGTATCACCTCTAGAATGAGGGTGGCTGGTTGTCCTAGTTTGTCTGGGACTCACAATTTTCCCAGAACCCCGGAACTTTCTGGGTAAAAACTGGGCAATCCTTGGGAAATCAGGATGATGACACCCTCTGTAGAGCTGAAGTGAAGTGGCCAGATTCTAGAGTTGCTGGAACTGTGGAAGAGGGATCACAGAAGAAGCTGTAATCACAGAGATACGTAGCCACTGCCAGAGACAGTGCTGGACTGTGGAAGAAATGCCTGGCCTTTCTCTCTTTCCATTCCTTTGATCTCCTGCTCATGTCTCCCATTGACCTACTCAACTGGAAGCCAGAGAGCAAGGAAGCAGTCCATGGGGGTGTGTGTGTGTGTCAGTCTCCTAGGAAACAGAACAGGCCAGAGGAAGGTGGGAAAGAGACAATCAGATCATAAACAACTTAGAAATGAGAAATGAGATGCATTATTGCCTGTAAAATGCTTAGGCCAGGAAGTAATCAATAGATGTCAGTTATAATAATAATAATAATTATACTTCCTGTCTGTCAGTTTGAAAGCTATGCCACCAGTATTTGAAATACCAGCAGATGGTTGGACAGGTTTCAGAGGAACTTCCAGTCTAAGACAGACTAGGAGCAGTCATTTAATGCCAAGAGGAAATTTTCTTCCTGCTTGGAATGAGGACACTAGGTGATCTACCAGCCTGGCGATCTACTTCTGAATATTAGCCAGCGAAAACCCTATGGATCACACCAGAACATTGTTGTATACGGTGCTGGAAGATGAGTCTCCTAGGTTGGAAGACACTCAAGATACACAGTGGCTACAACAATGGACTTAAATGTGCCAACGATTGTGATAATGAATCAGGGCGAGTAGCATTTCATTCTATTGCCTATGGATTTGCCTTGAGTGGGAGCCAAGTCAACAACAACTAACAACACTGATATGATAATGATTTCAATGAAGCCAGAAAGCCCTCTATGGGGACTCTTCCAGGGCAGTGGCTGTGTTATCTTTACTCCTGTATCTTTTCTTGTGCTCAGTACCCAGCCTGGCTTCCTAGGAGCTCAGCGGACACATGTGCTGATGAATGCTTAGTGGTCTTGCCTCATCTCTGAGCAGCAGTCTTCATTCCTCTACTTTTATGTTCTGCTGGAAGAGAGGGATTCTGGGAATGTGACTGTCTCCAGAGATGGAAGGCAGGAAGGAGGACTCAGTTTCTCCTTGGGCTACTGAAGGAAGAGCGATCTTGGATGTCCTGTGTAGATTGGGGTTGGAAAAAGCAAAGTGGCTTTCTCATCCGTAGTCTGGATTAGGGTCGGTGAACCATCCATCTAGGTGGGAGGGCAGCTGTTCCCAGAGAGTTCTGTGAGTGGGACTTGTGTTTAGTAAATTGTCAATCCCACATAATGCCTGGCACAAAATGTGTGCTGAGAAAATTCATAGAGGATGACTTGGACGAGTGACTATCAGTCTCTGGGGTGGGGTGAAGTTTGTGTTTACAGCCCGACTCCCACCTCCCTGCTCTGGCTCTGACTCAGAGAAATGGTATTACTCCCTTCCCCATAGAGCCCAAAGTTACATCCTGGAGGAGAAACCCCACTCACAACTGGCTCCACCTCCCACGCTGCAGAAGAGAGAGATTAGGGAGGCTGAGAAAGTGATCACAGCCTCAGGGAAAGGAGACAAAGGTCAGTGGGAAAGAGACAGCTCAGTGTTGGGATCTCAGGCCTATGCTTTTCCAATGGAATTCCCTGGTGGACCCTGTTTGTCATCAGGGAGAATGATACCTAGAGAGGGTAAGAGTTGCCTGAGGACACACAGCTTCATCTGCCAGCCAAGATGCCACAAATGCCTGATATCCTCACTCCAAGCAGGTAGAAAACCTCTTCTTGGCATTAAGAGACTAACTGGTGATTAAGGGCTGGAAAAGGTCAAAGTGGCCTCCCACGTTTCCTACTTGGGCTGGGTGGGAGGGAAAAGGACCTCACTACCATTACCCATGGGAGCTGGGTTCATCTTCTTTGGGCAATTGGAAACCGCTTAAAACCTTCCAGTGGCCTTAGAAAGGGATCCCTCCGTTCCTTCTGGGCTCCCAAACAGTGGGCCCCCTCCATCTGGGTCCCATCTCTTGCTTCGTCTCCTTGCTGCAGTGTGACAAGTACAGCAAGTGCCTGTGTCCATTTTCCACTAGGTCTGGTTCTCACTGTAAGGAAGGAGGAAGAGACAATCGCCAAGATTCTCTTATCTACAATTCCCTCATCCCTAATATTTTCAGTCTCAAAGTCTTTGCTAGATTAGCTGCTATGTTTGGTCCTGGTAGCCTGGAGGTGGACAGGACATGAAGGAGAACATGTATAGTGACCCAAAGAGGCCCCTGACCCCTTCTGAATTAAGCCTGGCCCTCCTTGTGGACAGGGGAAGAGAATAACAATGGTGCTATGTGGGTCTCTTGGATCTATACCCCTTTCCAGCCAGGATGGGATGTACTGTTCACCCATTGTCAACTCCCCCGTAGATAGCTGGGCCCCTCAATAGCGACTCTGCCCTGGTGCAGGGGGACAGGGGACCCAGGCTCTAGTTGAAGACTCCCTGTTTCTCCTTAACCGCAGAACAGCATTCTGTCTTCAGGTTCAGACCACTGCTAAGGAACCCAAGCCTTTTATTGCCTCCTCCTTTAGTGCCCAGTCCTGTGCTCAGGACTACGTTTGGGCAGGGACCCTCTTTCTGTTCTTATTGTCACCTTTTCCAGCACAGGTCTCCACACAACCACCTGTCAATGTATGACAAAATAACAAACTACCCTCCCTCTGCCACCTGTGCCCCCCACCCTGGGCCTGCTGGGAGACAATGAGGCTGTGGGCTGGGAGGGTGGGACGAGAGCAGGCCTGGGCACTCTCTCCAGCAGCCCATTGCCCAATGCATCTTCTCTTACCACCTGCACAGCCCCAGGCCCTGGAGCCTTGGCTTACGACAGGGACCTGGGACAAACCTCACAGAACAGAGCCCCATTGATGGCGGTCACCAGGGCTGGGTGGGAGGAGAGCAAGCCAGCTACTGGGCGGTGGAGATGGCCCGTGGGAGCCCATATCATCCTGTTCCGAGGGAGGAGAGCCCGAGGGGGCAGAAGGTGGCATCCTGCCCCAGACAGTCTCGGCTGGCTCCTTAGAGTTCTAGGGTGCAGGTGACAGCTGGGTGCAGCCCCTCCCTCCCACTGGGGGAGGGGGCACTACCCTGGCCACAGGGCCCCTCCCTCACCTCCTGGGGCAATGGGGCAGGAGTGTCTGTGGAACCTAGGAGCCAGCCCAGTTGGGAAAAGATAAAAAGCCCATCAGTGGTTCTGTAGCTCACTGTGCTCCTTCCCAGCTCCAGCTCCCAGCTCGGCCTGCTTTGCGCCCCTCTGACAACCATGAGATCCTCTATGTCTCGGAAGACCTACTCCACCAAAGGGGGCTTCAGCTCCAACTCTGCCAGTGGAGGGGGTGGGTCTCGGACCCACACCAGCTTCAGCTCCATGACCATGTCCCGAAGCAGTGGCAGTGGCGGGGGGCTCCGCTGCAACCCCAGTAAAGGAGGCTTTGGCAGCCGGAGCCTGTATAACTTGGGAGGTAGCAAGAGCACCTGGGCCAATGTGGCCGGAGGAGCCTGCTCGGGACGGGTTATGGGGGGCTTTGGTGTCAGTGGAGGGGCCTATATGGGCCTGGGGGCAGGCAGGCAGACATTCGGGCCCACTTGCCCTCCTGGCGGGATCCAGGAGGTCACTGTCAACCAGAACCTACTGACCCCCCTCAACGTGGAGATAGATCCGGAGATCCAGCGAGTGCGCACCCAGGAGCGAGAGCAGATCAAGACACTCAACAACAAGTTTGCCTCCTTCATTGACAAGGTGGGCCTCTAGGAGAGGGATGGATGGGCAAAGCGGTTCTAGACTCATGTGTAATGCATGGAGGGTTGATGGGATAATTTCTGGAGTTCTGGCCTCAACCTGGGATCCCAAGTGGATGACGGGACATGACCTTCTGGGATTTAATGCAATTGCTCAGGTGAGTCTGCTTATGAGGATGGTAGTAGGTCAAGTTCATCTTGACCATGTTGAAATCTTTACTGGGGTCCTCATTAATATGGTGTGGCACTGTAGGGAAGCACTGTACTGCTAACCACAAGATTGGTGGTTCCAACCCTCTAGCCACTCCTTGGTGGTGGTTATGTGCCGTGGAGTCGATTCTGACTCATAGTGACCCTGTACAGGGTTTCCAAGGCTGTAAATCTTTATGGGAGCAGAAAGCCTTATCTTTCTCCCGTGGAGCAGCTGGTAGTTTCGAACTGCTGACCCTGAGGTTCGCAGCCCGATTCGTAACCACTACGCTACCAGAGAGCTCCTTAGCCACTCCTTGGGAACCCAAATACAGGGTCAGAACTGACTCCATGGCACTTAACAACAATCTCATTACTAAACAATGGATGGTCCTTATTATTCCTCTTAGTGAGTGGTCTTGGTTGCCTTTTGGCATTTTAAAGCTGCAAAATATATTGGAGGAGGCCTCAAAGGCAAAGATGTAATCAAGACCCAACAGAGTGGGTCCTAGGCGAAGTCACCTCTTTGCTGTTTAAATTTGTGGTGCTTTATCCAGGGATAAAGTACTGGACAGCAAGTTTGGTGTGAATCACAAGATTGGAAGTTCAAACTCACCAGCTACTCCTTGGAAACCCTGTACAGGGTTGCTATGAGTCAGAACCGACCTAACAGTTTTTTTTTTTTTTTTTTTAAATAACAACAACATTGCTTCTCCCTGTTTGATCTAGGAAGCTCAATTTGCGGTGGACCATGAGGAGCACATACCAGGTCACCATGACCTGGGGGTATAGAATCTAATCACTCCCTTCTTGGGAGTGCCCTGACTGCTTTCCTTGTCTCCTGGTTGACTAGGGCAGTTCTTGTACTGTTCTCCAGCATATCCTGACCCATTTTGTTGGTATTGTCCACCTTGGCCCTAAGTGCTCAGGCAGTGGGACCTGATGAGGAAGGTCTTGGCCAATGGTCATACCTTGGTTCATCGATGTGCACTTTCTTAAAGGACATTCTTGTCCCTTTTCTTATGTGACACCCACAGCAGTGGCGTGAGGAGTTAAGGTAAGTGATACTATGTTCACTTTTAAGAAGAGAAAATGGAAGTCTAGCAAGGTCAAGTGAGTTTTCCAGGGTCATGCAGGTACTTGGAGGCAGGGGTGAGACTGGGATCCAGGTTCCTGGACCCCACTGGGAATTGGGATACTGAACTCTGTGAACATGAGGCCTCCGCATGGTCCTTGGAACTAAGATATATTGTTACTGTTTATGACAGGTGCAATATTACTTAATGTTCCTGGATCTGTGACTGTGGGTGGGAGCCTGGGAGCCTGGCAGAGGTTGAAGCAAGCTGTTTCGCCTACCCTTCTCACCTTCTCCCCTAGTGACTTTTGTTTCTTTTGTGGGACAGTCTCACAGGTCATAAAAAGAAAACCCTTTCTCAGGCTCTCAGAATCAGGGCCTGGAAGCAGGCATCTGAAAGATTGACTGGTGACCATAACCCTGGCTGGGCAGAAAACCCCTGAGGGCTCCCTCTGAGGCTATAGAGGTGGGGTTTGGGGATTGGTATTAAAAACACACACACACACAAACAACTTTAAATTTATGGAAAAGTTGCAAGAATTGTACAACATTTTCCTGTGTACTTTTTTCATCAAGATCCATTGTTGACATTTTGCCATATTTGCTTTCTTTCTCTCTTTGTATCTGTCTCTCTCTGTGTGTATATAAATACATACACACACACATGTATATCTACTGTGTTGCTATTAAGTGCCATTGAGTTGGTTCTGATTCATAACGACCCTATATAGAGTCTCCAAGGAGCCGACTTTGCAGTTCAAACCAACCTTGCAGTCCAGCTCATTAACCCACAGCGCCACACCAGGACTCCATATATATATGATGGTGGTGGTAGTGGTTATGTGCCATGGAGTCAGTTCTGACTCATAGCAACCATGTAATAGTGTTTCCAAGGAGCGGCTGGTGAGTTTGAACCACCAAATTTATGGTTTAAACCAACCCTGTGGTCCAGTGCTTTATCCCACAGTGCCACACTTGTTGTTGTTGTTAAGTGCCATTGAGTTGATTCTGACCCATAGCGACCCTGCATAGGGTTTCCAAGGAGAAGCTGGTGAGCTTGAATCACACCCTTGCAGTTCAAACAACTTTGCAGTCTGACACATTAACCCACAGTGCCACACTAGGACTCCATATATTTATAGGTGTATGTGATTTGTGTGTGTATGGATTTGCATTTTAACAGTTGTTTCTGATGCAGGGCTAGGGTTCGGACACATTTCTCTAGTCCTTCTTACCCAGGACAGTGAGAAAGCCAGACCCGGAGAGAAGTGCCTTTACAAGATCACCGATTAGTAAATGGCTGAGCTGAGACTTTTACATTAACTAGCTCTTTAGAGCTCTTTTTCTGTTTGCGCTGCCGTTTCCAGAAAAACTTGTTCCTCTTAGAAAGGTTTAGGCCCTGCACTGGTCCTTTGATACTCTGCTCTATGACCAGTGATGACAATGGACTACTAATGGGAGGTGGTGGACCCCTGTCCTTGGCCTCTCTCACAGTTGGAAGATGGTGCCAGCTCATCTTTCTTGATCTGGTTCAGGTGCGCTTCCTGGAGCAGCAGAACAAGGTGCTGGAGACCAAGTGGGCTCTGCTGCAGGAGCAAGGCCAGAACACGGGCATCACCAAGAACAATTTGGAGCCCTTCTTTGAAAACTGCCTGAGCAACCTGCGGAGGCAACTGGACATCATCCAGGGCGAGCGGGGGAGGCTGGATTCGGAGCTGAGGAACATGCAGGATTTCTTTGAGGACTTCAAGAACAAGTGAGGGGAGCTGGACAGGCCTGGCCATCAGGGGTGGGTGGGGTTGGGGTCACAGGCAGAGATGTTTCCCTTAGGCACGCAGGTCCAGGGCTTACTGTCTCCTGAACTGTCAAGTTAATTTGTGGCTAATTCATAATTTTATTATAGAAAATGTGAACATCTATAGAAGTAGAGAGAGTAATATGACGAACACTTCTGTTCTCATCACACAGCTTTGATAACTATCAACTCACAGAAAACTCATTTTTCTGAATCTGTATCCCTACCCTCAGTATGGTGCTGTAGGATAAGTGCTAGACTGCTAACCACAGATCAGCAGTTCAAACCCACCAGCAGCTCCCTGTACAGGGTTGCCATGAGTTGGAACCGACTAGATGGCACTTAGTGACAACACTTCTGAAGTCCAAGTCATGTCATTCCATATTCATACACTTCATATGCATATTTAGATTTTATAATACCACAATCGCACCTAACACTTTAAATCATAAAAAGAGCTCAATATCATAAAATAGTCCATTTTGACTTTCCAATTGTCCCATAAATTAAAAAAATACAGTTTGTTTGAATCAAGATTCAGGTAAGGTTTATATACTCATCTGATGATATACCTATTTATAGTTTTAAGCCACAATTAAAAACAGAAAAACAAAACAAAATTTTCTCCACAATTTAACACTGGCAACAGCAACAGTTGGGGAGGAGTTAGTGTTTTAAAATGGCTCCTTGTTGAAAGTGAAGGCAAAGGTTAACCAGTGTTGACACATCTTCCTTCACATATGCTCTTGTGAAGCCTCCTCCAGGCTCTGATCTCAAAGGATGGCTGCTCTTTATTGCCATATTATTGCACATACCCAGTGCCCCTCTCCAGGAAGGCGGGGAGGAGAGACTGTTGAAATAAAGACAGTATCCAAAGTTCCTTCACTGGTTGACTGCATCCAAAAGCTGCATCCCAAAGGCAAGCTTGGCCTATCAGGACTTCCTTAAAGTTGAGTGGGTCCAATGTCTAAAAGGCAGAACTGGGCTGAACCTAGGTCTTTAGGTAGAGCAAACAATTTGCATTTGACTACTAACCTAGTCAGTTTGTCAGGCTTACTAATCTGTTTTCATAAAGATGACAGCTAAGAAAACTCTATGGAGCTGTTCCACTCTGGAGCACTTGAGGTTGCCATGAGTTGGAATAGACTCCATGGCAATGGATTTGTTTTGTTTTGTTTGTTTCATTTTGCTTTTTGTTTTTGTGGTTTGGGCTGAGTCAGGTCTGAGACTTTTCTGTGTAACAGGTATGAAGATGAAATCAATAGGCGTACTGCTGCAGAGAATGAGTTTGTGGTACTCAAGAAGGTAAGCAGGGCAGCAGGGGGTGGGGACAGGTGCTCCTTTGATTTCCAGGGTGCTGGGTTGACTCAGAGAAGTGAGGACGTTGGGTACTGAGCCATCTGTCCTGCTCTCTTCCTTGTCCCCAGGATGTGGATGCAGCATACTTGAGTCGAATGGATCTGCAGGCCAGAGTGAGCTCCTTGACTGATGAGGTTGACTTTCTGCACCACCTCTACGAAATGGTGAGATGCTCAATGGATGGGGTTAATTTGCATATATCTGTATACAATCTTGAGGTCTGATCTGAATTCATTAGTATAACTTAATTGGTAGAAGATTTTGACTCAATCTTTTTATTAATTATTAGTAATATCTTCTGTGGTGACGCTAAAGGAGAAGCACTGTACTGTAAATCACAAGGTTGGTGGTTCAAACTCACCAGCCACTTTGCAGGAGAAAGATGAGGAGACTTTTTACTCCTGCAAAGATTTATAGCCTCAGAAACCACATAGTCACTTCGAGTGGAAACTGACTGGATGACGTTTAATAACAACAGTAATAACTCCCATGCATCGAATGGTTATGATGAGCCAGACACTGGGCTAAGCTTTTTGCATATTGTTCTCAGTGTTCCTATTGATAATAGGCACTGCTGTGTAGGATAACCAATGGACTGCAAGCTCTTTTGGACCTCCAGGTCAGTGGTTCAAACTCATCAGCAATTCCTTGGAAACCTTATACAGGAACCGACTTGATGGTACTTAACAATAACAATTGCCTTAGATTAATTTGCCTGTGGTCACATAGTAAGAGGCAAAGCCAGAATTGAAAACTGGTTCTCCCAGACTCCAAAGTCTGATTCTTATCATTCTTATACTGCTCCCCTTCCTGCCCAGTTTGTAACGGAGTAAGGGATGAAGGAGCAGAGATAGGGGTTCTAGGTTGCAGCAGGAGGAAAGTTGTGTCCAGTAGGTATAGATAGAGTTTCTGAGAGTGGCTGGTGGGTTTGAACTGCAGACCTTGTAGTTAGCACATTTAGTTCAGTGCTTATCCTACAGTCCCACACCTTATTCCCCTCTCTTAAATTCTGGTCTCTTTTCTGTCAGGTCACGAGTTTCCACTCCCTTCCCCTCTCCTTTGAATGTTCAGGAATTTGCTTTCTTATTACCTGAGGCACATGTCTAATATTTCTTTCCTTTGCTATTACTTGCCCTTTTAACAAACATTTACAGAGTATCTTTCATGTGACAACAGAAAGACCAAGTCTCTGCCCTCGGGGGGCCTAGAGTCTGATGCTGGGTTGTTCTGGTGCTGTGAACAGGGACAAGGTGCTGAGGTACATGATCAGGCTGTGGCTGACTCTTCCTGGAAAGCTGGAGGATTCCCTAGGCGACTCCTTTAGAGTTGGACTAGGAAAGCTGGGTAGGCCTTCTAAAGGAGGTATAAGAAGAGCTGGATAGCCAGGGGCCCTGGCCTGTGCTGGGTCATGTTTCAAGATACATCAGAGAACTTTGTGTGTCTGGGGAACAGCAGATAGTTGATGGGCTGGTCACTGAGTGTATGAGGAGAAATCGGTGGTTAGATGGAAAGGGAGAGCAAACTAGGACCATTTCCTGTCAAAGTTACTCATCATCCATCAGAGGGGAGAAATGATGGCCAGACTAGCAGCTCCCTGTTCACCTCATCTACTTTGTCAGAGGCATGATGGTCAATATGGCACTTAGAAATTGATCCCCTGCTCTGGTTTGGCCAATCCAGATCTCCTTTGGAAATCTGGAGAGTGAAACACCCAACACTGGCATGTCTTGTCAGGAAAGCAACCTCTGATGCACCTGTCTGGCCTGGGGGTTTGTGGGGTCCAGTTCCTCCTTCTGTGATACACTTCAGCCTTTTACCTTCACTGAGATGTTCTGCATTATCTTTTGCACCTTGAGGTCCCCAGTTTCTAAGAAGAGACCACCAGTACCTACTGTCATCAAGCTGACTCTGACTCATGTGTCTCCCTGTGTCTCCGAGCACAACTGGGCTCCGTAGAGTTTTCAAAGGCTGATCTTTTGGAAGTAGATTACCAGGCCTTTCTTTCAAGGCATTCCTGGGAATCAACCTTTAACCTTTTGATTAGCCACAGAGTGGATTAACGATTTGCATCACCCAGGGATTCGTAAGCAGACACACTCCTTAGTTCACAGGACCTGTTGTTTTCCTCTTTTAATAGTTCTGTTTCTTTGGAAAGCCTGACCTTTCTCTCCCCTTGCTTTATGAAGACCGCTACCTCCTTGTCTTAAAGATTCCAAGTTGCTTTCCCTCAGGACCCCACGCTGGCATTGGTTTATAGAGGGGCCTTGAACTTAAGAGATATGGACAGGGTGTGAGAAAGAAGATAAAGTGGGGTGGTGAGAAAATGATTATCATCTGTAACAAATACAACTAATTGGAGAGAATGCTGAGTACAAAGGAAAAGCATTTAGTTAAGCGCTCACCTCGGCTATGTAAGGATCTCCTGAAGCCCCACAACAACAGTCCAAGGAAGGAAACTGAGGCATCATAATGCTTAACAACTACTTCAGTTACATTGCTAATACATTTCAAGGCTGGGAACTTGAACTTCGGATTGTCTGTCTCCAGAGTTCATTCCTAAACTGTGAATGCTTCAGTTTTTGCACTGTCTACCCACTCTGGGATCTGACTTCTTTCTGAATGCCAATCTTCTTTGCCAATCTTAATTAGTATGCATATTGGTTTTTGGTATTTTTCTCTCTCTTTTTATTTCTGTTGGAATGGGTTATGAGTTGGGCTGCTAATCTCAAGGTCAGCAGTTTGAATCCACCAGTTGCTCTGTGGGATAAAGATGAGGCTTTCTGCTCTGGTAAATCTTTCTAGCCTCGGATACCCAATACGAGGTCACTATGAATTGGAACTGACTCGACAGGTTGTAGCAGCAGCAGCATTTCTATTGAGTTGATGTTGTCTCAGGTTCTAGTGTCAGACTCTACATTTGAAACTGCCAACCTTGTGATTCAAACTGACCTTGTGGTCCAGGGCATTATCCTGCAGCGCCACACCAGGACTCTGTTTCCTAACTTGTAATCTCTTTTAGTTATTGTAAAAGGACATGTAATGAATTTGTACCTAACGCAGTGTCTGGAACTAAAGAATGTGGGAGTTATTATTATTATATCTGTATTTATGGTCACTTTGGAGTCTCGATGTGGCACTGTAGAATAAGCACTGGACCTCAAGGTTGGTTTGAACCTCAAGGTCGGCTGTTCAAATTCACCAGCCATTCCTTGGAAACGTTATACAGGGTCACTATGAGTTGGAATCAACTCAACGGCATTTAAAAACAACAACATGATCGCTTTGGCTACATTGAAAGACCAAAGCATGTGAAATACTGGACATAAGTGCAGAATACAGAACATATTGGCTCTTAAAGGGAAGATTCTTTATCCATTGGGGAGCCTCTGAAGAGTATTGAGTGGATGAGTGATTTGATCAGAGCTGGCTTTTGGGGAAATCTGTTGGCAATCCAGGGCAAGAAGGACATGGGAGAGACAGAACAGAGCCCAACTGGGGGCTGACAGAGTCAGGGCCTAGTGATGGGGCTATCCCCAAGGTCAGGGCAGAGACCCTGGGTTCCCAGTCACATAACCTATCTGTCACAGGATTTAAAAACTCCTGCTTATGTGTTCTAGAGATGATATTTCTAGACCCATTTTCTAATAAGTCCTAGAAACACAAGAAAGGGTTAAAGAACATCATGGTAGGCTATACATATTCTAGAAGGATCCACTTGGGCTTTGTCCTTAACTCTCCGGGTTCTAGTCTGGGCCCCACCCATGTGACTTGACCTTGGGTGTGTTACTCCTATTCTCTGAGCCCCTTCCCTCATTGGCAGGAATGACAATACCTCCCTTTAGGAGCACTGTGAACGGTGGTGCAGGGGAGGGGAGAGTGCCGCTGGAATCTGGCCCACACTCAGCTCCACACACCTTGTCTCCTCTAAGAGGTTCCTCTTCCCAATTTGCACAAAAGCGTCCCATGGGCCAGCTGGGTCCCTGCTTGCTTTGCAGGGTATGCTGAGGATTAAGGGGGTTATGCATGTGCTAGCACAGTGCCTGGGCCCTAGCTGTGTGTAATAAGAGTACACACCCTTTCCCCTTTAATCTCTCAGGAGGCTGCAAATCCACAAAGTGAAATGAAGTCTAGAAAGATAAAAACCACATTTCACAACTGGGGAGACTGAGGCTTTTCCTTTTAGGGTGGAGCCTGGAGAAGAGCACAGGGCTCCTGATGCCACCTGGGGATGCTTGTCCTCCACTCTCTATGGCAGGTGCACAGATGGCTGTGATTCTGTTTCTGCAGGAGCTGAGCCAAGTGCAGACCCACGTGTCTGACACCAACGTGGTCCTGTCCATGGACAACAACCGAAATCTGGACCTGGACAGCATCATTGCTGAAGTCAAGGCCCAGTATGAGCTGATTGCCCAGAGGAGCCGGGCTGAGGCCGAGGCCTGGTACCAGACCAAGGTGAGGAGAATGACTGGTTCAGGAATTGGGGCCAGGACTGAACACGGACCTTTTGCATTGTGAGAAGCCTTGAGGGTGGCCTTTGGGGTCAGGGCTTATGCATGTGTCCCAGGATCTATCTGCTATCTCATGGTCTTTGTTTTGGTCTCCAGTATGAGGAACTGCAGGTGACAGCTGGCAAGCATGGGGACAGCCTCCGGGACACCAAGAATGAGATCACTGAGCTGACCCGTACTGTTCAGAGGCTGCAGAGTGAGGCAGATGCAGTCAAGAAGCAGGTGCACCTCGGATGGAGGGCTTGGGCTCAGGCTTAGTGGCTAAAGCATGAAGGAGGATTCTTTCTTTTTCTTTTTTTTTTGTCATTCTGAGGGGTGAGAGCTATCTTTCTGATGGATGAGACACACTTAAATGCTGAGACATCCAGACCAACACGCTCCTTTTACAGGGGCAAAAGGCCCACAGAGAGGGTTCTAGACTTGGGAGAGCAGGTGGGATGACCTCGTCCAAGGAGATGGAGCCATCTCCAGGAGGTCAGACCAGGAGGCTGAGATGCATCTAAGGCTAACAAGGTTGGGATAAAGGGATGAGGATGGTGGTGCCTGGCTTGAGGGCAGAGTGACGGATGGGATGTTGCCAAAGGGGATTTCCAACACCTCGCATCCCTTGAGCAGTGCCAGCAGCTGCAGACTGCCATCGCAGACGCAGAGCAGCGTGGAGAGCTGGCGCTCAAGGATGCTCAGAAAAAGCTTGGAGACCTGGATATGGCCCTGCATCAGGCCAAGGAGGACATGGCACGACTGCTGCGTGACTACCAGGAGCTGCTGAATGTCAAGCTGGCTCTGGATGTGGAGATTGCCACCTACCGTACCCTGCTGGAGGGCGAGGAGAGCCGGTGGGTGCTCCTTCTTTCCCCAACGGAGAGGGCTTTCCTGTGCTGGTAAAATAGCCTATGTGGTCTAATGTGGGGGAGGCCAGACTCCTAATTCACCACCTGAGAGCGATCTCCCTCTCATGTCCATGGCCCTTGCCTCTGCCTGTTCTTCTTTTTGATGGGCACAATCATCCCACTCTTACCCTGCATGGCCCCTGGCAACCAGATCCCACTACCTGTGGAAGCTTTGACCCTAGGAGGCACAAACTGTGTCTGCTCAACTATTAACCTAAAGGTCAGCAGTTTGAGCCGCCCACCCAGTAGCACCATGGAAGACAGGTCTGTCTGGTGATAAGATTGTGGCCAACAAAACCCTATGAAGAATTTCTATTCTGTAACACATGGGTTACTAAAAGTTGGAATCAACACAACAACTTGGAGTTGTTGTTGGTGTTTGTCTTTGAAGAACACGAGAGATGGAGACAAATTCACAGCTCTTAGTGGTGGAGGCTGTTTCCCTTTGAGCAGGGACAGTAGCCCTAGCCTGCAGGGAGAATGGTGTGTGTGGGGGCCCAGGTATCTTGACCTGCTGGCTTCTTTGCTTCCCCGACAGCCTTAGGACCTGGTGGAAGAGCCATGAGTTAAGCACAGACACATCTATTTTTTTTTTTTCCCCTCAGTTGTGATGAAAATATATACTACAAAATTTTCCATCTTAGCCATCCTAAGTATATATTTTAGTGACATTAATTGCACTCACATATTGTGCATTTATTATTTTTTAATTCCAAGATGTTTTCATCACCCCAAACAGAACTCAGTACCCATTAAGCAATGACTCCCCGTTGCCCTTCCTCCTATGTTGTGTAGTGCAGATGGTCAATGTGCTCGGCTGATAACTGAAAGGTTGGAGGTTTGAGTCCACCCAGAGATGCCTGAGAAGAAAAGCCTGGAAATTTACTTCTGAAAAATCAGCCACTGGAAACCCTCGGGAGTACAATTCTACTCTGACATACATAGGGTTACCTTGAGTCGGAATGGACTCAAAGGCACCTGGTGCTGCCCCCTGCTCCCAATCTCTGATCACCACTAACAACTTTTGTCTCTATGTATTTGCATATTCTTGATGCTTCCTATAAGTGGAACGATGCATTGATCATTTTGTGTCTGGCTTACTTCACATAATGGTTCCCAGGTCGTAGAATATATCAGAACTCCATCTCTCTTTATGGATGAATGATGCTCCATTGGATGTATGGACCACACCATACATGCACACTTCCCATCCTCTCCTTGTCTCACCATCTGGACCTTGGCTCTTGAGAGCTGATTTACTGAGCTGGCTCAGTGTAAAGATAGAGGAAAAGAGAGGGATTTTACTTGGGTTCTTGGGAACACTGACCCTCTCTTGGCCTTTATTTCTCCCCAGGATGTCTGGAGAATGTCAGAGTGCCCTTAGCATTTGTGAGTATTCTGCCTCCCAACCCCCGCCCTGCCCCTGCCTGGCTCTAGTCCTCTGCTCAGTTCATTCAACCGGTTATTGACCTCAAGCACACTCCCCTTCATGGGTGATCCTGGGGCAGGTTCAGGGGGTCCCTGTCCCCTGTTTCCCTTGGCTCCACTGCCTGGTTCCATTTCCTGCCCTGCCGGCTCCTGGGTGGTGTCTGATCCTCTCTGGGCATAGCTGCCCTGCCTAACCCAGACCCTTTGCCTTGCAGCTGTGTCTGGCAACTCCACCACTGTGAGCGGAGGCGGCTCAGCTGGCATCGGGTGTGGCATCTCCCGGGGTGGGGGAGGCATCAAAGGTGGCTTAAGTACCAGTGGGGGCTATAGCTCTTCCAAGGGGGGAGTCACTTCCGGGGGCACCTCCATCCTGCGGAAGACCACCACGGTCAAGACATCCCACCGGAGGTATTAGCTGTTGAGGCTTGCTGGGCCCCTGCAAACCTCTTCCTGCCCCATTCACCCACCTCAACTACCCTCTGTACTCACCCTCCTTATGAGCAGCAACAACCAGAGGACCAAAGATCTCCTGTGTTTGCATACCAGGTGATTTGCTTGTGATTTGCATTTGGGGAAGGGCTCAAATCTGTTCAGGTTTTCTCCTTGGTTCTGTGATGGGATGGGAGGGGAGGTTAAAGTCACCAGCTTGAGTGATGTGTGTCATGATTAGGGGATCCCTTTAGACCAGTGAAAAGAGGCTGGATTGCTCAGGCCATCTTGGCATCCTCACTAACTTGACTCATCTGCTCTGAGCTCAGGACAGGTGGAGGGAAGAGAGAGGAATGTTTGGGATGGTCCTCCAAAGGCCTTCAACTTCCCCAGCCTCCCACCACACCCCACCCTGAATCTACCCACACCCCACTCCTCTGTCTGCACCTGTGTCTCAATAAACAGCAACTACAGCTAGCTCTCTGTGGCTCCAGAGTCTGTCCTGCCCAGGGAATTGGCATTGTGTTAAGTGACTGACTCCTTGATCGTAGAGGCAGTAATAATCAACTCCCACTATGTCCCAACCACCATGCCAAATAAGCTTACTGCCTTCAACCACTCTAAGCCCCAAACCAAATCCACTGCTGTTGTGTTGATGCAGACTCAGATAGACTCTGCAGGACAGTGTACAAGGGTAAGGAAAAAGTGTTGTGACTCGACAGCACTTAACAACAACAACTACAACTAGGGTTCTAGTTCATACATGCACAGGTTTATTCCAAACAAAACGTGTTTAAACATGTCTCTGCAGTGGATGGCTGCAGACAAGTTTTCTCAGTAACGCACGTGTCTTAGTCTTATTGTTGTTATGAAGTGCCGTTGAGTTGGTTCCAACTCATAACAATACTGTATAGGGTTTTCCGAGGAACGGCTGGTGAGTTTGAATCACAGACCTTGAGATTCAAATGACCTCACGGTACAGCGCTTATCCTGCAGGGCCTTTAAAAAAAAGTTTCAATCAAAATAGTGGGTTTGGATGGGACCTGCTGGATAGATTTGAGTAGATTTGAGATTCCAAAGAGATCATCTTGACAGATTCTCTTGAAGGGCACAGGATTACTATGGGGCTTATTATGAAGCAATCTGAAGGAAATCCAAAACTGCATTGGTGAGAAAAAGGCCAGGAAAATTGCACTGATAAATTTCCCCCCACATCACAACAATGCACCTGATAATTCTTTGAGGCAGCAAGAACTGTCCTATTCCTATGGAATTGTATTGAGATACTTTACTCCACCTATCCTACATCCCTGATCTTGCCCCTTCAGACTCCTTCTTGTTCCCCAAACACAAAAAACACTGAAAAAGAATGCAACTTGAGTCCCCTGAGGATGTTAAAACTGCCATTTTGATGTGGTACGTATCAGAGTGCAGAATTCTTTGGAAAAGCGTTGTTAGAAAGATGGAAATACTACCCTTAGACTTAGATGGAACATATGGAGAGAAACAATGGCTTCACAGTTTGACAGTTTTGTTTAATAAAAGTTGCTATGATTTTGTAGCAATATATTTTGACTTACCCTGGTAGAACCGTTTCATAGTTTTCAAGGCTGTAATCTTTATGAATCAGACTGCCACATCTTTCTCCCATGGAGTGGCTGGCGGGTTCCAACCACCACCTTTTAGTTAGCAGTTGAGTACTTAACCATTGTGCCCCCAGGGCTCCTTCAACCACTCGAGGACGTGGGTATTAATCTACCCTGCATAGAGCTCAGTAGGAAACTGAGGCTCAGAGGGAACATGCAAATTATTCAAGGCAGAGCACAGTTACAGAGCATCTGTTCATTACCCAGCCTACCCCCTGATGACTATTCAGATTTCCACTAATTCTGGGTGGGGCTGAGAGTGTGATTTGTTCGGTGGAAAGGTTTTGGGCTTCAGAATGAGGCTGACTTAGGTTTAAATCCCAGCACTGTCACGTTCTAGCTGTATGACTCTTGGACAAGTTACTGAACTCTTGACACCTCAGAGTTCTCCTTTGTAAAGGAGATGTGATGAGAACATGTATAAACCATCTGGTTTATGGGAGACTGTATGAGAATAATGATGACCCTAAGTGGTACAAGTGGTTAAAGTGATTGACTACTAACCAAAACGTATCTAGAGAAGCCTTGGAAGAAAGGCCTGGCGATCTGTTTCCAAAAAGTCACAACATTCAAATCCTATGGAGCACAGCTGTACTCTGTACACACGGGGCTGCCATGAGTGGGAATTGACTTGATGGTAATTTAAAAAATTAAAATTGGTTTCATTGGCTGCTGTTTTTCTTGGTCTCTGGCTTCCTAGAGCATCAAGTTGGAGTCACCTTGGATTTCTCTGTCAGCTCCCACTTTTAGTCATCATTATACATCCACGTTTAATTGGATTTTGTGGTTTACAAATACATCACTTTGCCTGCGATTTTCCCAGCAGCCTCAGAATTCAGTAGAGGGTGTGTTATTTTATATTTCGTTTTACTGGTGAGGAAATTGAGATGCACAGAAGTGAAGTCTCGTGTCCAAAACTATACAGCTGCTTAGTGGAAAGTGAGGGATGCCCAGGATTGCCGAATCCAAACCTGCCTTCCTTTCTCCACAGAAGTTGCTTCTGTCTCTTTCTCCTCAGTCAACAATCTTACTGATGATTCTTCCTCCCCTGTGTCTCATGGAGTCAACCTCTTTTCTCTTTCCCACACTTCCCTTCTCTGATCCTGGATCCCACTGGTTGACCTTCCTGCCTCTCCCGTGCTCCCAGGCCCTGCAACCCCATCAATCTTCCGAAATCAAATTTCCCTCATGCCTCCCTCTAACAGCAGCTGAATGCGTTGATGATGGGCATGTCAGCAGAGGGATTTTGACTGAAATCTTAACCCACGGGTTAGGAACACAAGGACCTAACATGTAGCGAAATCAGTTCCACCTGACCAGCCTGAGTGGCCCCTGCTTCATGAGGCAGTCCACTTATGAGGCAGGCTTCTCTTCTCACGCATCTAGGCTGGGCGTGGTGAGTGGCCCACCCTCAGTGTACACCACAGTACAGGAAGAATAGCTAATACTTCCTAAGGGACACTGAAGTCAACTCTTTCACTTGTTTGACCTTTACAATGTGTTGCTTCAACTCATAAGGACCCTGTTTAGGGTTTCCAAGAGCAGCTGGTGGGTTTGAATTGCAGAATTTGTAGTTACTAGTCCAGGGCTGATCCTACAGCATTGCATGCACCCTGCGATATAAGCATCATTTTCATCCCCCTTTTGCAGATGAGGAAACTGAGGCACAGAATTGTTAGATAAGCAACCTAATGTAACAAGCAAGTAGGTTGGAGAGTTTAGTTTGGGATCTAAACCTAGTCTGGATCAAGAATTCAAGTTCATACCCAATGGGCTAAGAGGCCTACATAGAAAAACCAAACCAAACCACCCAAACCTATTGTTGTTGAGTGGATTCTGACCTACAACAACCTATTTCCAAGGCTGTCATCTTAACGTATAGAGCTGAAGGACTGCTAACCTCAAGGTTGGTGGTTCAAACCCACGAGTCACTCCTTGGAAACCCTATACAGAGTCACTATGAGTCAGAATTGACTTGGTGCATAACAACACTCTTAACATGTGGCATTGTAGGATAAGCACTGGATTACTAACCTAAAGGCTGGCAGTTCAAACCCACTAGCTGTTCCTTGGAAACTATATACAGGATTGCTGTGAGTCAGAATCTACTTGACGGTACTTAACAACAACATCATCAACAAGAACAATCTTAATGAAAATAGTCTGCCGCACTTTTTCCTGTGCAGCTGCTGGTGGATTTGAATCAATGACCCATTGACCTTTTGGTTAACAGACAAGTGCTTAATCTCTGTGTCACTAGGACTCTTTTGTATTTAAAAAAAGACATAGAAAAGTAGGAGGGGGTAGAGTTGGAACAGACATTGGAGACAATCTTGTCATTTCATAGATGAAAGTATTGAGGTTCAGAAAGAGGAAGAACATGCCTAAAAGTCACAAGAAGCTAATGGCAGTGTGGTAAAAATTCAGTCTTAATGAAATTAGAAATTGGGCTTAAAAATTTAATAGAGATCTTTGCAATAAAATGCAAAGATTGCAGCACAGGCCAGGAAGACTCCCTGATAATATATGGGCTACTTAGAAATATTTGTTGAAGGTCCCAGAGATTTCCACACTGAGTTCTTAGAGCCAGAAGACCCCATAGGGTGGGGGGTAGAGGGTGGGAAAGCTCACAGCCCCCTCCTCCCAATATCTCTGCTTTTATCTGGTTTACAACTGAGGCTCTGCATATGATCCCAAGAATGACTTTGTTGCCAAAACTAATTGGGAAACTCCTGCTTGCACCTGCCCTGGTGGAGGGAGACCACCTCCATAGAACCCACCCGCCACTCCACTTCTGAGGAGCTGCTGCCCTCTTGCTGCCCTCTGGCTTCTCCCTGAAACGCTGATTGGACCTTTATAATAAAGCAGGATCTCTGGCCCCCAAGTTGGCTTTGGCCCTAAAGAGTGACTCAGGCCCAGTGGGGCAATGAAGGCTGGGGTGACCAAATGGGGTGAGGGCTTGGACCCGGCTAGTGAGGGTGTTTTCCCACACCACACACTGGGTTTGGGACCAACAGTAAAAAAGATCTCAAAATCTCTGTAATCCTAGGGCTGAATATGAGGGTTTGCCTCCCCCACCCAGAAAGTCCTAAGCAAACACACCCTCCTTCCCCTGCTCCACACCCCTGTCAGTTGTTCATCCGTCTTTGACAAGATTGGAAACAGCTGCCAAGTGAGGAAGGGTCATGAGGGACAATAGCAAAACTGCAGGGGGCGGGGACAAGCTATCTGAGCTGCTGCCAGGTGGAGTCACCCGGTCCAATTTCTTGTGTCTGGCTGGCCAAGGTAAGTGGGAGGGAGCTTTCTCAGTTTCAGGAAAATAAGTTCTTCTCTTTCCCCTAACTCTAGGGGGGAAGAGAATCTTCCTTTGCATTAGAAGTTCTTCCTGATGTCTACCAGTTTCTCCTGCTACAGTTTGGGGATTTTGTGAGTGTCTGGCAATTTTGATTTAATAATAAGATCACGGAATATGGCCATAGACTAGAAATTTCTTCCTTTGGTTGTGGGCTTATTATAGGATTTGCAATTAAATTAATTTGGATTTAGTTAATTGGAAGACACAGAATAGGTCCCTCAGGACAGTATCATATCTTACTGGGTCCTTGTCAAGAACTGAAAACCAAACCAGTTGCTTTGGAGTTGATTTAGACTCATGGTGATCCCATGTGTGTAAAGATCAAGCTCAAACCAAACTCAACATGTGTCAAGCCAATTCCAGTGCATGACGATGCCATGTGTTTCAGAGTAGAACTATGCACCATAGGGTTTCTAGTGGCTATAACCTTCCTTCCACGAAGCTGCTAGGCAGGCTCGAGCCACCAACCTTTTGGTTAGTAGCTGAGTACAAACCATTAGTGCCTCCCAGGAACCCCTGTAAAGGACAGTGCTACATAAATCAAGCAACCAATCATGTGAGGAAAGCAAGGACAGAAAAGTGTTGAGCAAAACCTCCTCAGAACACGCAATGTGTTAGCCAAGACCCTGCCGTTGCTCTGATGACTATAAGCTGGGAATCTGGATACATTGTCATGGATTCCTTTCCTCCTGTAGGTTCTGTGTAGAGAGAATCACCAAGATCCATACAAGGCACTGTGCTGTGGAGGTGAAGGTCACAGGTTTTGAAGTCAGACAAGACCGGCATCCCACATCCACCATTTACTAGCCGTGTGATTGTGTGCAAGTTTTAAGTGACAACAGCACTTCTTTTGCATGGTGGCCATGAGGAATGGAGCTGGCACAAGAGAAGCAACTTTCTCAGTGTTCAGTACGTGGATGCTTTCTAAATGAGCAGTCCTTCTACCTGACAAGCACTGTGGCCTTTTCCTCACTTTACTTGGTGTCAGAGATGATGAATGTCTCAATTAAGGGTTATCTGAACAGGGATGGACCTCAGTCATGGCCTCCATGGTTTGGGTACACCAAATAGGAGGGATTAAGCACTGGACTGTGAGCCACCAAGCTGTTCCACAGGAGAAAGATGAGGCTTTCTGCTCCCGCAAAGATTTACAGCCTCAGAAACCCTACGCTGTTGTTGTTAGGTGCCATCGAGTTGGTACCGACTCCTAGTGACCCTTTGAACACTGCCTGGTCCAGAACCAACCTCAGGATTGTTGCTATGCCTGAGCCCATCGCTGTTGTCATTGTGCCAATCCATCTTGTTGGGGGTCTCCGTCTTTTTCTCCGACCCTCCACTTTCCCAAACATGATATCCTTCTCCAGGGAGTATAAGAGATGAAGTCTGTCCATCCAGGCTTCCCAGGAGCACTCTGGTTGTACTTCTTCCAACATAGATCTATACATGGTCACTATGAGTCAGAACTGACTTGGTAACACCTAGCAATAACAGCAGCAACAATTATCCTGCAGGAATGTACCATCCCTTCCTCCTCCTGCTTGCATCTTGTTTTATGCACAGGGCACATTTAGGCACAACTCTGGTAGCGTAGTGGTTACGAATCGGGCTGCGAACCTTAAGGTCAGCGGTTCGAAACTACCAGCTGCTCCGCGGGAGAAAGATGAGGCTTTCTACTCCCGTAAGGATTTACACCCTCGGAAACCCTGTACAGGGTCGCTATGGGTCGGACCCGACTCGATGGCACTTAACAACAACAACAACAAGGTTCAACCGAACATGAAGCTTCCTTCTAGTATTTGAGTATTGCAGCCAGTGGAGACAAGAAGCAATAAAAATATTCTGAGTCTCTCGGGGCTTCAATTCTGCTGATGCCAACCCTCCTTCTAACTCATAAAAGTCCCCAGTAAAACCTTCAGAGTAGTTGGGAGAATGGTGCCACGAGTGTCAGGTACAAAGACCAAGATGAGGCAGCCAGGGGTCTGAGTTCTGGGCTCTCACTCAGACAGAGAGCTTGGTGAGCCTGCCTTTCTTCTAGAGGCAGACAATTAGACAATAGGACTTTAGCTTCCCAAGAGGGGGACCATGGGTCTCTTCAGCTCCAGCAGTTGCAGCCCCCAGGCTGTTAGCCCAGACTTGGAGTAGCTCTACCCTCCTTCCTAGCCACATCCCCTCCTGGGATGGCAATGCCCTTGAAACTCCCTTGACCTGAAGAGTCAGTCCAACAGTTAGGTTTGCTTAGGTGCCCACTTCCAGAATGCTCTGCTACACAAGTTAAAGAGTTGGCTTGGTACTAGGCTGAATGGTTTATGTGTGAGGTCAAAGAATACAGAACCATTGGGTCCCAGCTCGCTATATGCTATTTGTGACCCTGGGAACTATTTATATCTTGAATGTTTCAGGTTGTCATATGTAAACAAGTCTAATCATACCTACTGCATAAAGCCTTTAAGGAGATTAAATGCAAACATATACGTAAAAGGCCTAGCACAAAACTGGTGCTCAATGAACATTTGTTGCATCAGTAAGGAAATGGTCAACCTCTTCTGAGGAGATGAATCTGGATCTAGAATGCTCCCTTGCTACAGGGGAGTCCTCGGATTTTCCCCCTTGGGCATTTGATGAGTTTGGGGTTTCTCCTGTTCTCACAGTTATGCCCTCCATTTGTTTAGAGGCCATTTAGGCAGGGACAGGGAGAGTTCAACAAAGACCTGAGTAGATGGCAAAGAGGGTAGGTAGCATGTAGGTCAGCGGTAGGAGTGAAGAGAGAGGGGTGAGAAGAGGATGATGGTGGGAGAGGGGAGAGTAGTTAGGTAGGAGATGACCAGCCAGCCTGGCCTTCCACATGCTCCGGAACCGCTGGCACCCAATCTCTTCTCCCCACTGGCTCTGGCTCTTTCTCTTTGCATTGAGGGAGCTGTTTATTTTTGCTGTGGTCAGTCTTCATTCAGTCAGGGTCAGTTTGGGAATCATCTGGGCTCTGGTCACTGCCATTCTTCAGCTTTGGAGTCATTTCCAAAATGAGAATTCCTTCATGAGGGACTGTGCATGGCCAGGAGAAGCAGGGTGGGGGTGGCTGACAATTCATTGAATTTCTCCTGCTAAGTGTCAATGGCCAAGCCTGGGTAGCACGAGGATAAAGCCTACTGTGTGCCGGGCACTGTGTGTGTACAGGCACTGCATGACCTATGATGTGCCAGGAGAATGAGTTCTGGGAAGTTAGCACACTTACCCAAGGCTGCACAGTTAGAAAGGGGCAATAAGTGGAATTGAAACCCAGATCTATTGAACTCACTTAATTCAGGACATGCAATCAGGATTTTATATTTAAAAGTATTACTCTGAGATGAAACCATGGGAGCCATAAGTTTCATCAGACTGCCAGAGGAGTTCCCAGCACCAAAAATGGTATAAGCACCTGACTCCTGCCCCAAATGCTGGAAAAACAGCATATAGGAAACTAGAATGTGCTCAGGTCTGGAGGAGCTAAGTAAATAGCTGGGCAGCAAAAGGAGCAGGGGTGAACAGCTCATTTAGAATCATGTGGGCACACACCTGACAGGAAGCGTGAGTCCTGAGGACCCGGGATACAGTCAGGGCTTCGTCGGGGACGGGTTTCCGCCTTTAGACTGTTTCCCTCTTTACATGGTCACTCACTTCACTCCATGCTTAGCAAGTGATGGGTTCTCAGTAACTGTTTTGTCAAGTTGAGATGAGACTAGATTTAGGGTTAGATTGTTGTAGAGTGGAATATGAAAGATTTCCCCTTTTGCATGTGTATGTGGGGCTGATTGCGAGTTTGGAGGAATAATAATGATAGTGATAGCACATATATGCCCAGCTTCTGATTTATAAAGCACTTCATTATTTTCCTAGGAAGTGAGGAAGGCAAGTGTTTGCATTTTTCCAGTTTACGGATGAAGCCATGAGCCTCAGAGAATGGCCTTCTCAAGGCTTTCAGAGCTGGCAAGTGGCAGGCACTTGAACCCTGACCCTCTGGTCCCAAATTCTGTGGCATGAGAGAAGAGGCCGTCATGGGGCTGGTTGGAATGGAAGAGCAACGGAGGAGTGGGCCAGGCAGGGCCCGCTGATCCAGGTGGCCCTGGGCGAAAGTTCAGGTTCTCCTGGAGGGGAGTGTGATGGGATTCAGAAACCCGTGCCCTCCAAATGACTTCTGTAGGTGTGTTTAGTGACATGCTCAGCAGGTGTGAGGAGGATGGGTGAGTGCCAAGGGCCCAGCCCAGAGATGTTTCAGATGTTTCCCTTTATGCCCCTGTTACCAAGCCCTTCTGCTCCAGCACATATAAGAGACCCAGGCTGAGGGCTCAGACATTCATCAACCTGCTCCTCTCTCTTCTCTTCGATACCTCTGAGCTTGCTCACTTTCCTCCAGCCATGATCTCCAAACAGCAGTGCATCCGAGGCGGGTCCCGGGGCTTTAGCTGTGGTTCAGCTGTTGTTGGTGGAGGCAGAAGAAGTGCCTTCAGCTCTGCCTCTATATCTGGGGGTGGAGGTCGCTGCTCCTCTGGGGGCTTTGGCAGCAGGAGCCTTTACAATCTTGGAGGCAAAAAGAACAGCTGCATGAGCGTGGTTGGTTCTAGGCAAGGTGTCAGCTTTGGGTGTGCTGGAGGCTTTGGAGCTGGGGGTTTTGGAGCTGGAGGTTTTGGAGCTGGCAGTTTTGGCGGTGGATTTGGGGGTAACTTCAATGGTCGGGGTGGTCCTGTCTGTCCTGCTGGGGGAATTCAGGAGGTCACCATCAACCAGAGCCTGCTGACACCACTCCATGTGGAGATCGACCCCGAGATCCAGAGGGTTCGGACTGAGGAGCGGGAGCAGATCAAGACCCTCAACAACAAGTTTGCCTCCTTCATTGACAAGGTGAGCTGTTTCTTTGGCCAGAAAGGGTTGGTAGAAGTCAAGGTTCCAGTGCCCTGGGACCTTAGCTTGAGCCTGCCATGGGCATTGGCAAAACATTGAACTTCTCTGGGCCTCTATTTTCTAGCTGTAAAGGAGGAATAATTATTCCCAGTTATTTCTCCTTGTCCCATGGCTAGTAAGAAGATAGAATGCTTAAAGCAATTAATGTTTGGAGTGTTCTGGATATGCTGCTACTAGGCAAATCATCCAACTTATTTTGCTTTGGTCATCCCAGCTATGAAGGAGGATAATCATATTCCTGCTTTTTCTCATATTTTGCTTTTGGGAATAACACAGTCAGCTCCATGAATTAATTAGATCATTTAATTACAGCAGCATGTAGAAAAATTGGCATTGAGGTGCTTATGAAAGTTTCTCCTGCTAGTAACTAAACTGCTATTTCTTCTGTTCTTAGAGCTGGTTTTCCATAGGAGCGGGACTCCAGCAGGGCAGATGGGAAAACCTGTACCACCCTGGTCCTTCAGGATCATCCCTTTTATCCCTTTGCCTCTGGGCAACATTTTCTTCTTCAGGATCTGTTCAGAGAAAGAAAGGAATGGACCTCCTTTCTTTTTTGTAACCCAACTTTCTTCTTCATGATAAGTCTAGAAGTTTGAGTTCTTTAAGCTCAAGTATAGTAAAGTATGACAGAAAATAGTTAGCAGATGAGTCCCAGAGAGCCGAGGCACCCCAAAATCAGTGACTGGATGGATGAGTGGAGTGGTTGTAGTCAAGGCTTTCCCTGTTCTCCATGCATCAATGTCTCAGTCCTCTCAGTATGGGGCAAGAACAGTTTTGGGACTGATGGGAATATTTGTTCTTCTAGCTAGATGGAATGAGCCCATAGTAGATTGAAGAGGCTTTACTGTGACTTTAGTGTCTGCAGGTATGAAAGCTAGACAAAAAGCTTGATGCTTCCTTATTTCATTTCCCCTCATACCCTCTTATGAGTTTAAACTGTGATTAGTCACCTTCACCCACTTCCTTCCAATTCTGAAGCACATGAGATGGAAATGTCATGCTAAGTTGAAACCTTAGTTTATCTTTCCATTACGGGACAGGAAGTCCCCTTGAATTAGGTCTAGGGCCTTGATCTTAGATAGCTGTGTTCAGTTGTACACAGATTCATAGGAACACACTGGGTTCATTTATAAGCAAACTAATTTAAACAGTATCTTTACTGAACTGATCTTTCCTTTGCCTTGTGTCAAGATCATTTTGAATTCAATAGCCTAGTTTTTGGTTGTTTCTCTTAATTTTATTTTATTATTTCATTACTTTATAGAAGTTCAATGTTCTTCTCAAGAGCTCCTCCCATGAACTTTGGATCTTGTTGGTTAGGACTTTGTTCTTGTTACATTGTCAGGCTTTGATACTCTGGTTGTGCTCTGTTCTCCACAACCCACATGGCCCCGGAGCGGGGCCACCATGTTGATTCTATGAATGGTTGCAACATGGTAGTTCTACTAAGGTGACTTCTGGGTTGCCTGATAGGCTTGAACGGACTGTGAGGACGTTGGCCTTGACTGGTCCTCTTGTCAAAGCTTCAGGCTCTCATCAGTCGGCTTGTGTCTTTTTCAACATAGGTGCGGTTCCTGGAGCAACAGAACAAGATACTGGAGACCAAATGGAACCTCCTCCAGCAGCAGACAACCACCACATCCAGTAAAAACCTTGAGCCCTTCTTTGAAAGCTACCTTAGTGCCCTGAGGAAGCAGCTGGATGGCTTTATCAATGACAAAGGGCGTCTTCAGTCTGAGCTGAAGGCCATGCAGGACAGCGTGGAGGACTTTAAGACCAAGTACGTGGGGAGGAGGGAGGAGAGACCATTCAACACACAAATCTGCCTGGACATACTGGCCTCCTGGACTTCTCTCCAGTGGTTTAGAATCCCAGGCTTTGAAGAGATCTCCAAAAGCTTAGGAAAGTTATCTAGTATGTTCCCTGCATCCACAGGATTGCACTTTAATGAGGCGAGGTCTAGGTCCATGTGGAACCTCAAACAGAAAATGAATGATAGATTCAGAGATTTGCCATACAAAAACAAGTTTAGAAACCAAGCAGATGAAAAGCAGTGTGGCATGGTCATAAGAAAACAGGTTGTAGGGACAAGTAGACCTGGTCTGAATACTGACTCCTCCACTTACTAGCTGTGTAACCTTACTAACTGTTGCTTTACTTCTCTGAAACTCAGTTTTCTTCATCTTTAAGTGAAAGTACCTTATACTTACAGGGTTGTGAAACTAATGAAGTAGAGAAAGCACAAGGCAAAACAGCTGAATATACAGCGAAGAGTCAACACACAGTGGCTCGTGTTATGCTCAGTATGGCATGGGGCTGATTTAAAACCAGCCTCTCTCTCAATTTGGTCTCACACTGAATGAAGGGAACTGGAGTGTTGGCAACACTCTTGAGAATTTAATTCACCATCTGAATGAAAAAATAGCCCTTCTGTGGAAACCAACTCAATGAGATTATTGTTGGCACTTCTCACGCGTCATCTCTTGAAAATAATCTTTTTAACGTTTGCTGTTCATGTCTCTGAATAAACTAGTGTCTAGACTGTCATCTTGTATGCAATAATTAGTTAAGTGTAAGTTGAATGAATATCTAAATGAACATGAGAGAATATTACCGATTACCCAATGTTTCCAAATAGCTAGATGTTTGAAAACAAGCAGCAAAGATCTGGGAGACACTAGCTCATTAAGGGGGTTTTCTTTTTCCTTTTGTCCCCACTCCCAGGTATGAAGATGAGATCAACAAACGTACAGCTGCTGAGAATGACTTTGTGGTCCTCAAGAAGGTAAGAAATAAAGGAGGATAAGAAAGGACTTTCAGGATACCTCTTCTTTTTAGGCATAGTCTTTGGCTTGAACTGTAGATTTGCTCAATCTCTGCCTCATTTCCATCCCATTTGTTGCTATTCAAGTCAATATAGCCAAAAGAAGTGGGCAAACTGAACCAGGTTCTGAAGAATTAGTATTGGGAGGAAAGCCCATCTGGATAATTAGCTTCCATGTCTGCAGGTAGATTTAGGGGTAAAATATATCAAAGGATTGGCCACCAGGTTCTGCTTTGGGTATCACTTAACATCCTGCCCCCATTGTAATTCCTGCATTTTATCTCTAATCCCACCCCCCTACCCCCCTTCTCTGTAGGACGTGGATGCTGCTTACATGAACAAGGTGGAGCTGGAAGCCAAGGTCGGGGCTCTTAGCGATGAGATCAACTTCCTGAGGGCCCTGTATGATGCGGTGAGGACTCTATTCTGCCTCTTTCCATTCAGGGAAAGGGAATTCCCTACCTCAGTGACTTCTGGGTGGAATTCACAGTTTTTGAAAGGAGTCCAGCTCCCTTACTTCAGGGCAAGGTCATGGATGAAAAAAATTGAAGTGAGAGATTCAGCTGGGAGGTTCTCAGAACCAAATGTTGTCCTAGAAGAACAAAATGTAAAGATTGCTTGGACTTGACTTAATTGCTGTCTAACATTACTCTGGAGAAATGGGTCCATTCTATTCCCTTCTATCCAACATACTGAACATAGGCATGGATTGTCTTAGGATTTCCAGGAAGCAAAAAAGACTACAGGAATTGGTTTTCTATCTTGAGATGTCACCAGTCACTTGGTTCCTACATAGATATTTACCTCCCCCCTGCCTCCACTCCAACATGTACTGGAAATGCCTAGCCTGCATCCATCTGAGCCTGTGACATGGCCATTTCCACAGAAGTAGATTTCTGGGGTCAGAGGTTAGAGAAAACTCTGCTGGGGGCTGATGTGAGACATTAAACTTGCAGGAGCTGTGCCAGATGCAGACTCATGTCAGTGACACATCTGTGGTCCTGTCCATGGACAACAACCGCTGCCTGGACCTGGACAGCATCATTGCTGAGGTCCGCGCCCAGTATGAGGAGATTGCCCAGAGGAGCAAGGCAGAGGCTGAGGCCCTGTACCAGTCCCAGGTGGGTGGTGAAGGTCTCTCAGGAGATGAGAATGGTTTACAAGGATCTATTTTTGATGTCTGTGAGTATGCAATCCTTAGCTTGAACTTGAAAAGTCAGAAGTGAATTGATTATTCCAGCCTGGTTTGGGACTATTTGATATTTTTGTATTATCCTTACCACCTGTGGACTTTCTCTCTGAGTCTATTGACTTTAGAATGTTCTCTACCTAAACACCTCTGACACCCACCTGGTTTCCTGTGTCTCCTGGACACTAGATACAGCTGCTCCAGGTTTCAGTTGACCAGCATGGTGACAGCCTGAAGAACACCAAGAGTGAGATATCAGAGCTCAACAGAATGATTCAGAGGCTACGGGCTGAGATTGAGAATGTCAAGAAGCAGGCAAGTACCACCTCCTCCTTCTAACCAACGTGCAAGGCCAATGGCCTAAAGCAGATTCTCCACAGTAGATGAACGGATTAGGTACTAGGCCAGATGACCCTGACCTGATTGATAGAGGATTTGTAGCTCTTTATATAAGCTATTGGAGTCCTGGTGTGGCATTGTAGGAAAAGCACTGGCCTACTAACCACAAGATCTGCAGTTCAAACCCACCAGCCATACCTTGCAAACCTTATACAGGGTCCCTATGAGTAGGAACCAACTCGACATCACTTAACAGCAAACAGCAGCATATAAGCCATACTCAGATCTTTCCAGCAGTATCCTAGGTAACAGGGCGTGATACCCCAGTATATAAGATTTCTTGGCTCTTCTTCATTAGTTTTTGCTCATCTTAATCTAATGAGTCTATGGGGAGGGGCATTAGGGGGTTCTGCTTAGAGTGAGAAATACATATGAATCAAGGAAGATGGGGACACCACAAATTCTTGATCTCTTAACCCAAGGAAAGTTGGCTCTGGGGTAGGAGACAGGTATAGAGGCCTTGAGAACAGATACTAAGGATTGTCTATATAATGCTCATGTCTATAGTGCCAGACTCTGCAGGCGTCTGTGGCAGACACAGAGCAGCGTGGCGATCTGGCCCTCAAAGACGCGTTTAGCAAGCGAGTAGAGCTGGAGGCTGCCCTGAAGAAGGCCAAGGAGGAACTGGCCCGGATGCTGCGCGAGTACCAGGAGCTCATGAATGTGAAGCTGGCCCTTGATGTTGAAATTGCCACCTACCGCAAGCTGCTGGAGGGCGAGGAGTGCAGGTCAGGGTGGTATGGCAATATGAAGGGGGTAGGGCAATGTGAAGAGGGCAATATGAAGGATGAAGGGTGTTCGTTACAGGCTCATCTGTTTACACCTTTTCTGAGCCCTTGCTTCAATATAATGCTGGTACATTATGAACCAAGACAATGTAACAATTTATGTTCGGGTCTTACAATTTGGTTATTCAAGAATGGGATAGGATAAGAAATGAGAAGAGGTGGTGGATGGAAATCAGAAGCTTTGTAAACATAGTAAGCACATGGGGAAAATGCTTGAGATATGCACCTGGAGTGGAATATGGCTCTGGGCCTTACTGTGCCTCACTGTTCTCTCTCCCCTCCCCACAGAATGTCTGGAGAATGCCAGAATGCTGTAAGCATCTGTAAGTACTTCTGTGTCCGCCATAACCATTTGGTTGGGTTGGTTCGCTTAGTTGTCAGCCCTGTTGAAATAATCCATGTTCTTTGCCTTTCTCCACAGCCATTGTTGGTGGTAGTGCCAGTGCTGGAGGCATTGGCGGAGGATTTGGCCTGGGTGGTGGCTTTGGATCTGGCTCTGGAAGTGGCTTTGGGTTTGGCAGTGGAGTCTGTGGCAGTTCCAGTAGCAAGATTATCTCTTCTACCACCATCAGCAAGAGATACCACCGGTAGATGAGACATAGTCCCTGAAGCCCTCTGAGCCCAAAAGGTTCCAGTCCTGGTGTTTCCATGCTTTCACTACCCTATCTTCACCATCCCTTTTTGGGGCTCATCTGACCAGTATCACTTCCACTGTCCCCTGGGAACTCTTTGTTCCTGAATGATCTTTTCTGCTGGGGCTTGGGCTCTGCCCTCTTGAAGTTTGGAGGCTTCTTCTCAATTTGGGCCTGGTGGAGTGTCAACTGACCTATAACCTCCTATGGACAGAGGAGAAAAATAGCCAGGAGCTTCATCTCCAAATTGCCAGGATTACATACATCCCCTTCCAGCCCAGTGTGTCTCCCAGAAAATCCTGGATATCCTTCCTCATCAGGACATCTGGCATCAACTGACCTCACAGAGTCAGGACAAGAACCATTCAGTGTCCCATTGAACTCTTCTCATTCACTCTACCTATCTTCTGGTGATCTTCAATAAAATGCTTTTGTCATTCATTCTGAGCAATTGTCTTTGTTCCTTGGAGAGAAGCTTCCAGACTCCTCTGTCTTCAGATAATTCAGGTGAAAGTGGCCACTGGGGTCAGCAAGATCTATCTATACAGATTTAAGTCATCACTTAATTTCTCAGACCTCTACTTCTAAGGTACCCAGATTAGGGAGGAAGAAGAGCAGTGTTTGGGGCCTGAGAGTTGCTTACAGAGAAGATATACAGACTCAAAAGACAACCAACAATGATACAAAGAATGCCCATTGTAGGGAAAACTTGGGGAAGGAATCTAAGTCTGGAGGTATGAGGACACATGAAAGGAACGAGGAGAAGGTAGTCAAGGAGGTTCCATTGACTGTAGAATAAGAGGTAGGGTGGAAGGTGCTTATTCTCAGTGTCCAGTAAGGCCTCCCTATTTTTATTCAACTCTACGTATGGAGCTGAATCCCATGGGACAAACAAGCTGCTACAGGAATCCACAAGGGCATGCGGGTCTTATGGAGCCTACCTACTTGTTGCCCTACCTCCTCAGCTGTGTCCAATGTGGTGCTTATGTTGTTGCCCTTGAGTGGTGGGGGAAGGGGGAGGGGGTAGGTCTTCTGGAGCAGTGGAGGGTGAAGCTGCTTGATTGAGACCTTTTCTGGATGTCCTGGTTGGTGAAATGCAGAGTGAGGAAACCCTATTCAGGGTCCCTATGAATAGGAACCAACTCAACATCACTTAACAGCAACAGCCTAGGTAACAGGACATGATATCCCAGGACATAAAGTTTCTTGACTCTTCTTCATTAGTTTTTGTGGTTGTTGTTAGCTGCTATGGAGTTGGTCCACCTCATGGCCTGATTCCATGTACCATGGAATGAAATGCTTCCCTGTCTTGTGCCAATGCCACGATTAGTTGAAGATTGATCATTGTGATCCATGGGACTTTCATTGGCTGATTTTTGGAAGCAGATCACCAAACCTTTCTTTCTAGTTTTAGTCTGAAAGTTCTCTTGAAACCTGCTCAGCATCATAGCAACATGCCAGCCTCCAGTGACAGCCAGGTGGTGACTGTACTCTATGTGTTTTTGCTGGGACTCAAACCTGAGTGTTCTACATGGAAAGGGAGAACACTACCACCCCAATGCCCTCTTCCCAAACATGTTGTTGGTTGAGTGCCATCAAGTCAGTTCTGACCCATAATGACCTTGTACAGGGTTTCTAAGGAGCGGCTGGTGATCTTGTACCATCGACCTTATGGTCAAATCGACTTTACATTCTAGCACATTAACCCACAGTGCCACACCAGGAGTTAGCTGATTTAGCCTGTAACAGATACAGAGTACACTATTTCCCTTGGCTGCCCAACTGGTTCGCTCCGATGAAGTCCCCATGAGTCTTATTGCATGGAGACAGAAAAGCACAGTTTCCCCAAGGCTAGCCCTTCTCCAGTCTCAGAGCTGCCCTGCCTCTGGGAAGCAGGGCAGAAGAGCAAAGGGTTAATCTTAGGGCACTCTGCCTGGAGCTGCTACCGCTCCCAGGGCTGATGGCTTTGCTCATCCCCAGTGCGTCCTAATCTCCCTATTGTCTGAGGGCTCACCTCTGAGTCTGTCAAAACAGGAAGTCCCTGAAGTCAGTCAGACTTTGACTTTTTCCCACCACTGCACCTCTTCCCTGAGAAATGGCCAATTGGCTCTTTTCTAAGTCTCTAGGCTGGGGAGGAAGAGTCAAGGGTAGGAACCAGAGATAGGGTTTCTTGACTTCAACCATCAGGAAGTTGCAGGTTGAGATGGGCCACTGAGAGAAGCAAGGGGCAGGCTAATGCATTTCTTAGTAAGCGACAACAGAGGTGTGGGAGCAGCTGGCTGCCTGGGTGTGCTGCTAGGGCTCTTTGGGGCCACCTCAGTTGAATGGAATTATTTATACAGCAAAGACAGGATGTGGATTGTATAAATGTAAGTGTGTCTTGAATAAGTGTACTTGTATTTGCAAGTGATTATGTGAACATTTTGGGAGTCCTGGTGTGGCGCTGTGGGTTAATGTGCCCGACTGCAAACCTGGTTGAACTGCAAGGTTGGTGGTTCAAGCTCACCAGTCACTCCTCGGAAACCCTATACAGGGTTGCTATGGGTCAGAACCAACTTAACAACAACAACAATGTGAACGTTGTATCTTTTGTATGTACATAAGAAAACCACTGTTTTATTTAAAAAAAAGGGGCAAAAAAAAAATCTCACTGGCCTCTATTTCCAGAATAATCCAAGGGAGTGGATCCTGACCATGTTTCATAGGCTTGGGGCTGGCTAGCTACTCTAAAGATGACTGAGGGGAAACATGCTCTTCTGAGATAGATAATAGGTGCACCTTCTTATAGATCCTCTGAGCTGGATCCTGGCCAACTCTCTTTGTTCAGGCAAGCTATGGGGACACAGTTGCATTGCCTACCCCTTCAGAGGCTCCATGCTCTCCCTTTTGAACGCTGTTTGCCCTTTAGTACACTGAGATCATTTGTCACATCTAAGTGCCCGGCTATGGGCTTGCAAATCTTTGACTCCTGCTCTGGTTCCCACCACCCACATTCCAGACCTGGCAGCAGCTCCACCCCAGGTTTGACCCAGACTTCCAGTTCCCAAGTAAGTGCTGTATTTGCATAAGTCCCTCCCATACACCAAGTCCCTCTGCTCTGAACCCAGTCCTCTCAGTTCCAGAAAATTCTTGCCTACACTTCTAAAGTTTCCCTACCTTATTGCAAGTATCCAAAAAGATCAGACAAGTATTAATCTGGACTGAGGCCAGTTTTTACTCAGGATGAGAAGAGAAGCCATTGTAGGGTTTTAAGCAAAGATCAGACATGTTCTGACATTTAAAAGGATCATTCTGACTGCTGTGGATAAAATAGACTGAGGGACCAAGAGAAAAGGCAGTGAGAACTACCTCTTCTTAGGCATCTTCCAGGAAGGACATCAACCTTCTACGTTCAAACACCGGACTTCCATGTCCTGAGATAAGCAAGAGGAAACAGAAGTGTAGGCAAAACACTTAACGTGACAATAATGTTGGCAGTCAGGTTTGCCCTGGATAAATGTGCAAGATTCATCTTCATGTTAAGGGCTGTCCACTTGTATTTGTGCTGAATCATGTTTGGCAGCTGTGCCTCCTCAAAAAGAGGTTTGGAAATAAGCAAAATCACCCTTTTGTCTTCAGTGGCAGAATCCCCAAAAGATTTTAGGAAGTTAGCAAACAGGTTGCTTGAAATGAAAGATAAAAAGGGAAGAGGAAAATTCATCAAGAGATCATTTAATCTGGCATACAGAAAGTTATGAAGAGGTTTAAATTTATTTTTGTGCAATTATTTGAAAAGCATGAATCTTACTCTCTCCACTAAGGAATGTGAGAAAATCCAGTTGGATTTAAAGCAGACGGTTTGATTATAGTAAGAAGTAAGGTGACCATGAGATGTTGGATAAGCAATCTAAGGAGATTCAGAAGTAGCAGATTCATAGCCCCTAGTATATGGAAGGAGTCCTGGAGTGGCGTGATAGGATAAGCTCTGGACTGCTAACCATAAAGTTGGTGGTTCAAACCTATCAGCTGCTTCTTGGGAACCCTATACATGGTTGCTATGAGTTGGAACAAACTTGATGGCATTTAATGACAGTATATAGAAGGGTCGCACAAATACTGAAGGAATGCGTGTCATTGTAAACACAAAGAAATGACAATGGGCCTCCAAGTCCCTCTCCCAGCAAACATTTCCTTATAGTAAGCAAGAGTGGGAAAGGAGGAGGAGCAATTGCAAGGTGTAGAATGGAGGAAGGTGCCGATGTGGCAGTTCCCAGATGGGAGGCCAAACGACGTCAAAAGCCAAAAGGACACACCCTGAAAGCAGCTGACCCAGAGTTCCCTCCCCATCTCATTCTGAGATTGTTCTCTCAAACACGCCTTGTTCTGGGCTTGTCTGGTCTTGGAACACGAAGTCCAAGTCCCAAAGATTTGAATAATGAGCCAAACCATGGTTCTCCTTAGCTTGGTGCCAACCGACCTCTCCAGCCTCCTCTCCCACCAGTCCCTGACTTCAACCTGAAGTGATGCTGAGTGCTTTTGGTTTACACGCCACCATGTGTCACGTGCTGCTCCTTTACTTTGGTAATCTTGCTGCCCAGAGCACTCCCCACCACTCCTCCAGATACACACCCCTTTCATCCGCTGACTCCTTCTCAGGCTTCAAGACTTATCTCATGTGTCATCTCTTTCAGGGAGCCTTCCTTGATTCTCTAAGAAAAAGTAAATGCTTCTTACCTATGCTTTCAGAGCCCCAGTGTCTACATCTACTATTGCTCTAATACTGTCTGAAAGTATGGAAAATCTGTATTTAATGTGCCTGCCTCCTCATAACTTCCCATCTATCCCCAAAGCCTACCATAGAACCTGATCCATTGTAGGCGCTCAACAAAAGGTTGCTGACCTGAACTGATTGCTCCCACCTGAGCTCTGAACTAGTGCTTTAGAAGGAAAAGGAACTCCCACTGTAATCTGTCTCCAATG